TAAAATATTTCCCCCTCGGGGTGCCTGGGTGGCTCAGATGGTTAAGTGTCTGCCTTCAGCTCAGGTCATGATCCCAGGGTCCTGGGTTCGAGTCCCACATCGGTCTCCCTTTCCCTCTGCCTGCCGCTACCCCTGCTTGTGCTCTCTCTTTCCTGTCAAATAAATAAAAAAATCTTAAAAAATATTTCCCCCTCATTATTCCAATTACTCCCTTGCTCCCATTACTCCCAGTATAGACTATTTATGCCCATCCCTCTGAGTATGAGAATTATCCTCCTAATCATCTAAACATATATCCCCACATTTCCATATGCCACTGCAGACATCTCCCTTCTCTGTTCAACCCTCCCAAGTGTTACCTTCACGGTGGTATAAGGCACCTCAGTACCCCACTCCAATCCTCCAGATAAAATTTTCCTCTTGCCACTTCTGGGATCTCTGTCTCTCAACTAGGGGTTCTTAAACCTTTTTATGCCACGAACTCCTTGGCAGTCTGATACAACCCATGAACCCCTTCCCAGAATAATGCGTTTAGGTATAATATAAAACACATAGGATTACATTAGAAGCCAACTGTATAAAAATGCAGTTTTCAGATATTTAAAAATGAATTTGTGTTATAATCATGTATGTTTATTAATTCATTAAACAAGATGCCTCCAAGGCTACAAATTCATAAGAAAATATCTGTAATTTCTGTTGGTGACACAAATCTCAGTTACTGCTGAAACCACTATGGTTTCTGGCCTACACTCATAACTGAAGAAAATACCAAATTTTAGTTAGAAGTTAGCAAAAATCAAGATGTAATTTTTTCTCCACCCATAATGAACAGATCCTTTTATAAGAGGTCCATGAAATCCATGTTAGAACCCTACTTTAAACATGGGAGCTAGAAAAACAAGCTTTTATTTTACGGAATTGACCGAAACATTAAAAATAATCTGAATCAAAACCTTTGTGTTACAGATGAGGAAACTGAAGCCTAGAGAGGTTGTAGGGCTTTGAATCTCTCGTAGTGTCTTGAATATACTAAGTCCATAACAGACACACAATAAACGTTCCCTGAGTTGAAGGAAGCAATTTGCCAAGGTTGTGCAGCTAAATGACAGGGCTGACCCCTGAGCACACGTGTCACGACTCCTCGATAAATGTTCCTTCAATCCCATTAAGTCAATGCAACATGTGCCTTTCTATAAATGCCAGTGGAGCAAACACTCTCACTGTGTGCTCTCCCTCAACATTTCTAGGAAAACATGGGTCTCCATCATTTCCAAGAAAAATTTCCCTCCTGTTTCTAACAACAGAAGTCTCTGATTCCGTGTCACATTATTATTTCCTGTTTTTCTCTCATCAGTAAATACACATGGACCGTCATAATGCATACCTATTCAAAAATTAATAGATGGTCATCTAAAATGTTGTTATAATCAGGTGCTTAGCTTACAGCAATCAGCCTTCGAACATCATGCCGCTAGGAAGTTTCCCTAGTTTCCTTGCATGATTTCCATCGTTACGGCCAATCTCTGTTCAGAAATTAGCAAATTTTGGGGTGCCTGTGTGACTCAGTTAAGCGTCCGACTCTTGGTTTCGGCTCAGATCATGATCTCAGGGTCCTGGGATTGAGCCCCACGTTGGGCTCTGTGCTCAGCAGGAGTCTGTTTGAGATTCTCTCCTTCTCCCTCTGCCCCTCCCCCTGCTCGCTCGCTGTCTCTCAAATAAAATCATTTTTAAAAGTTATCAAATTTTTTTAGTTTTTTTAAAATAATGTTCACTATACTGCCATCTCCTGGGTTCGTTCCATCATATTCTCTTTCCTATATCATCTCAATGTTTTCTTTTCAAATATTCTTTTACCATGCTCAATACTGGCATTATCTTTCATGTCAATCTCTCACTATATTTTTATCATCCATCCAACAATTATGTATGGATTATCTACCATCCTTCACTTTTTTTTTTAAGATTTTATTTATTTATTTGAGAGAGAGAGAGAATGAGAGATAGAGAGCACGAGAGGGAAGAGGGTCAGAGGGAGAAGCAGACTCCCCGCTGAGCAGGGAGCCCGATGTGGGACTCGATCCCGGGACTCCAGGATCATGACCTGAGCCGAAGGCAGTCGTCTAACCAACTGAGCCACCCAGGCGCCCTCATCCTTCACTTCTTAAGTCTTCGTTTTCAAGCAATCCAACTCCTTTCTCCCTGAATCATTGCTCTAAGCACCCCCAATTTAAAGTTTTCTTCTGCATTTCTCCAAATGGACAGCTCTTTCCATCATTCCTCCCCAGCACCAGGATCATCTTTACCCATCGTTGCTGAAATGTGTGTCTGCACATCTTCAGGTTAGCTGTGATTACTCTCAGGCAGAGCTCACATGCACCTTCACATACAACAGGATCATCACTGCCCAACTCACTCAAGGCAGAATTCTCTTTTCCTTCTGTCATTTGGAGTTTACTACTGTCTTTTCTCCACTATTCCTAATACATCGAAGACTTTGCCATCAACCCAGTTCAAAGCTCCTTTTCCCCATCACTTTCACATGACTCTGTTCTTATGACTCTCTAGATCTCTTATGTTGATGAATACAACACCGCTGCCCACATGAGGCTACTGACCATTTGAAACATGGCTAAACTGAACTGCGATGTGCTGAAAGTATAAAATATACGCTGGATTTCAAAGATAATATGGAAGAAGGATATGAAATATCTCATTAAATTTTTTTATATTGAGTAAAGCTAAAATAGTGTTGGACATAGTGGGTTAAATAAAATGTATTAAAATTAATTTCACCTGTTTATTTCTATCTTTTTAAGATGGCTAATAATGTTTTAATTACATAAATGGCTTGCTAGACAGCACTACTCTGGGCTCCTGTTGATTCATACTTTTAAATCTTCTCTATGAATTCAAAATTCTCTCCTATCACTTCTACTAAGACACCTTCCCCAGTTATCCTCACTGTTCTCCACTTTCTAAACCCAGAATTATTTTCAATCTAACATTCTCAATACCTTTTCTACCCATTATTTCTATACATGGTATTTCTTTTTGCCTGTTAATATAGCTTCTACCCCCACCACTGAATCATAATAAAGTTGTTTTCTTTATCATCAGTCGTAGTAAGGTGGTGTCTCTCTTAATTCGAAGCAAAATTTCAGAAAAAAATAGTAATTCCCAACAAAAAGAACTTCATTCACCATTCTCCAGATTGGCCTATCTTCACTATAATTTCATTTAACAGGACGAGTAACTGTAAAACACTAAACAAATATAAATTAATAATTTCAGACCAATGTCAGCCATTCACACTAGAACAGCAATTCCTCCTCTGTCATTTTAAAGACAGCATTCTTTCTCCAAACTCTTCTAATGTTGAGGTTTCAATCCCATTATTCAAGCAAAAACTCTCATTTCATGCTAAATACTCTAATACCATTCCCAAAATAGAGCATTCATTTTCCCACCATTTTCAGCACGGGCCATGTGTCATCACTCCCCAGACCAATTTTATGTCTAACATTTCTGGAATTTCCTTTTCTTTTCTCAACTACTTCAGGGAAAAAAAAAAACGAAGACTGGGCAGGTAGACGTGAGTGGTGTAGTGAGAAAGAGTCAGGCGAGTCTGTATTGAGAGTGATAAGTGGGGGGTCACAGATAAAGATCTTCCAGTTACTATCGTCTTTGAAGGTTTCTTCTGAAATCTCTCCTTCCTGCCCTGTGCCTCAAGCCCCACTATAAACCCTTTATGTGTACCTCTTCCCAATATGAGTGGTTACCTTCACTCTACCACCTCTCAGAACTCTTCCTCCATAAGGTCTCCTTCCCATCATTCTTGTCTTTACTCCAAGAACAAGTGTCTTTGATTGCTTCCAATCTTTTCCTTAGATGATGATCTTTCCTTCATCATTCTCACTATACAAATTCCAGTTTACTATCACTCCCAGTATTGAAAAACCTTTTTAAAAAATTACTCCTGGAGTAGACACTTCCCTGTTTCTTACCAGGACATTTATTTAGCTCTGTCCCAAGCCTCTCAAAACAGAACTCTCTCACACACACACTTCTGGTCCAGAGATGCTTTTCCCTCTTCATCTTGCTCAGGCTAGAAATCCTTGTACCTCTCTTTTCCAGTAGACAGACCTCTTCTCTCTCATATTCTCTCTCTGGATTATCTGGGGATAGAGTGCATTTTTTGGTCCTTCCTTTCTTCTATTCTTCTTTCCTCAATATTTCTCTTCTGTTCTTTTCCTCTGCTTACTCCTCTCTCTCTCTCTCTCTCTCTCTCTCTCTCACTGCCTGGTTTTACAGCCAATATTCTATCTGCCTCAGAAAAGAGCCTTCATTCTACAAATGTCAAAATAAACAACTGAGGGGAAGCTGAAAGAGTAGGACATGTTCTCCCATGGTTTAGGCATCTTCCTCCCCAGATTCTCCTTCCCTAGGATGGCTCCCCTTCTGCCGCCCCAGCTCATCTCTTCCTCAGGTGTCTGCTTGTGCCTCCAGCTCCTGTTGCCCCCAAAGCCATCCCTCTGATGGTCTGCCTTAAGACTATTATTCCAAAAATCCTACTGATCTGTTCTTCTTCCGATCATACTGCCAGTTGCTCTCCTCCCCCCCCCCCCGCCTCCAGGCCCTTTTATCTTGTGGACATTTCCTCCCACCTTCCAGTTGCTGCTCTATCATTTCCTTTTGCTCCTCCTCGGGAGATGCTGCTCAGACTTCAGCCACTGGATCTCCCTGGCCCAACCAGGTATGAAAACAACAGCTGAATCCTCAAAGCCAAAATGCCCAGGGCTAAAGGGGGAAAGGAGAGGAAGACTGGCTCTGTAGCAGCACTTGGGGCCTGGAAGAGTGGTTAGACCTTCGGACAATTTCAAGGAAGGGCCCAGAAACCTATCACCAGAAACTGTCTTCTCCTGGCAAAGGACAAAAGGACTCTTGGGTCTCCTCCGCAAGCAGGAGTCAGCCCGCAGGCCTCCTGGGGTCACTTTTACCTGCTAAGCTGATGTGACGAATGGTTAAGCAGAGGTGGATTCATCCTGGCGCTAAAGAAGTTTAAGCTTCAGGAACCCCACGCTTGCATGCAGCCCGTTTTCCTTAAACAAGAGTCCACTAAATAGTATAAGCTCTGGATCTCATCACACCTGGATCTGCCCCTGGTTAGGGGAAAGCTTTTCTGGCATCTAGGGCCTGAGGATCGATTAGGGAGGTCAGGAGGGCTCCGGGTAGCTTGATTCTACACAGGATTCAGTTTGATACACCCTGCCTCTATTGAGAGGGCACCTTCCCATGGAGGACCCAGGGTTCCTGAATTACCTCTTGGCTGAATCTCACTGGTTCCAGAATCTTAGCTATATTCTCGACTCCAGGCTTTGTGCCACGCCCAACCCAGCCCAGCTTTAGCCTCCATCTTGACCTCCCCGGGTCAGTCCTGGTCCAGCAGGTGCTAGGCCCCCTACTCAGTTCTTCAGGGCTGATCTCTAAATGTGCCAATTCAGAAGTGACCTCTACTACTAAGGCAAAGACAGGTCACCAATGTGGTCACCACTGCTTGGACACTCCCTTTGCCCCTTCATTCACAGAGCCTACTTGGGGTCAATACAATCTTCTCAGAAGCCAGAACTGCCTTCCCCTTACTGAACTGACAGCTGCCCCAATGTACCCTCACCCTAGGGTCTTGCTAGTGTCCCCAGGAATCCCCCACTTGCAGCTTCCCTATTCTCCACAGAGGAGAAAAATGAAGGGATTCTTAAAAAGAGAAGTGGGAGCAAAGGCTTGAGGACTAGAACGTGGGGAGGAAAGGTACTAATTTGGAAGGGAGTACTGGGAAGTCTTGGGTGAGGCTTCAGGCACTCTGGAAGACAGAGCAGGGCAGCGGTTCTGGGAATCCAGAGGTGCCCTGTTTGGAACAGAATTGGAGGTGGTTCTGCAGAACCCGACATCTGGGGGTCTGGGATTCCAGGGCTCCAGGCAGGTGCCGAGATTCTGAGCAGGCTGCTGTCTGGCATTTCCAAGTGAACGAGCCTCCCGCCCGGCGCCCTGGTCGGCCCAGCACTTACCCGGCAGACTTGGGAAAGTCTCTGAGAAGTGCGGAGGCGGGGGCGGTGGGGGCTCTGCCACTTTGTCCCGGGCGGGCAGCAGCTCGTTGGCTTCCAGCCCGCCCTCCGGGCGTCGGCCGCCCGGCTCGGGGTTGTTTCGGGCGGCAGTGGCGGCGGCGGCAGCGGCGAGCTCCTGGGGCCCGTAGAAGGCGTCGGGCGGCTCCGCGAAGCTGGGCAGCGCCGTGGTCAGCGCCACCATCGAGGGCACGGCCTGGCCCAGTCCCGCGCAGAAGGTGTTGGTAAGGCGGCCGGCAAAGGAGGCCAGTGGGGCGAGGGGCGGGAGGCCAGCCGGCAGCGGTGCAGGGGCCAGCGCCTGCGGCAGCACTAGCGGCCGGTAGGGCATGAACATGGGATAGCCGGTGTAGAGCAAGTGGCCGGAGCGAGGCGGCGGCGGCCCGATCAGGGAGTCGATGGAGAAGGCAGTGCCCGGGCCCCCACCACTGCCCCCGCCGCTGCCCCCGGGGGCACCCCCGCCTCCAGCTCTCTGCATCGTGCCGGGAGCTACGGCCGCCCCGGGGCGCTCCCCTCTGGGCGCCGCCGTGCGCCCCGCGGCTCGGGCGCCCCGCGCGGACACGCAGGGCTCGCTCCCAGGCTCCCGGCCGAGGTGGCGGCGGGGCGCGGGCTCGGCGCAGTGTGGCTCCGGCGCCGCGCTCCCTCTCTCTCATAAGGAGGGAGGGGGCGGGCGAGCGGGCGGGCTGGGGGTGTCGCCCTCCGGACTCATCCATCTTCCTCAAATTACGCTTCACTTCCTCCCTCCGCCCGCCGCTGCCGCGCCCGGCTCCGCTCCCTCCGCAGAGCCCGTTCCCAGCGGCCCGGCCGGCCGGCCCGGGACCCCCGCCCGCCCCCCGCGGCCCAACCAACTATTATTAATGGAGATTGATGAGGCCGGACACGCCGCTTTGTGAAAGTTTGCGGCCGACGAGAAGGCGGCGGCAGCTGCTGGGCCGGTGCCCCTCCCTCCACCCACCCCGCCCGGGCGTGGACGTGGCGCGGGACGCCGGGCAAGGAGAGCGCCCCGGGAGGGGCCGGACCACAACGCCGTCGGACCCTGGGCCGGTCCCCGACGCCCCTTCCCCGGCCGCCCCAAGAGCAAGCCCTGGCCACGCGGGCTGGACACGACCTCGGCGCCCCCTCGGGCGGCGAGGCGGGAACGGCAGGGGGCGCGCTGTGCCGCCGGGCGCCGCAGCTCAGGGCCCTTGTACCGGGTGGGGGTGGGGGTGGGGGGGTCACCCCCCTTGGTAGTTTCTTCCCGACTCCATTCCCCTCTCCCCGGGTCTCTTTTCTCTTGACATTGGCTCTTCCCCTTCGTCCTCGTTCCCTCCTCCGACGCGGACTACCTCAGTTCCTCACTGCAGCCCCTGCGGGTAATTTCCTCGAGTGCCCACGCTCTGCCAAGTACTCACCGTCGCCCTCGCCTTTCCCCTCCCTCCTCCTCCCATCCCTTACGTGCTCGCCCTTCCTCCACGCTTCCCTTTGCCGCCGTCCCTCCTAGCCCTCTCATCCCCTATCCCAGTGGTCTTATTCTATTTTCCCCCCTCATTTCTCACCTGTATCTGTATCTCTTGTCTGTCTGTCTGTCTCTGTCTCCCTCCCTCTCTCTCCCTCTCTTCTGCTATTAATTTCCCTGATTGGCTCCCCGGCTCCAGCACCGCTGATGAGCCCTATTCATTCCTGGGCCTGACACTCTCGACCTGCCCTAGCTGATTGCTGGGGGCCGGCCCCAGGAGCGCTGATGAGCCCCAAGGGTCAGCAGCGCTAATTATTCGCTAATTGCAGATGACTCTGTTCACCTCCCCCATTCTCAAACACAGAAATGGTAGCGTCTTTTACCACCCCCACCCCCTATTCCCAGCGGTATAGTTGTCAGTGTAGAGGCAAAAGTCATGGGCACTTCTGCTTGATAGGTCAACCAGCAAAAAAGACTTAAGACAGGCAAGTCAACAGGAGAGTGACCCGAATTTCAGGATCCAGAGCAAGCCTAGCTAGCTAAAATGAAGGTCACCTGGTCACCGGGAAACTGTTATTCAGGTGGGCCAGGGAGAGCCAAGCCAGTTAAAAGTAATAGCAAAGCCCGGCCAGTTTAGGAAGATGCAGTCCAGAGAGGGGAAGTTACTTGGCTCAGGTGAGGACGGAAACCTATGCCCAAGAGTCTCAGTGTTTCTGAGCCAAGGCAGAGCAGGCAGGAGGGAACTCTGGATCTCAGTGACATTTGTTCAAATCAGGAGTGTCGTGGTGGCCTAGTGAATACCACTAATGTCAGACGTATGACAAAACAGCACCCTGAAAGATACTGTCACCAGGGTGGGACAGAAAAGGGTGGGACCCTAGAAGGGACCTTTCTTTGGTTATGCTTGACTGACAATTCATCAGGGAAAAGGAGAAGAGTGTGGTTTCCATGAAGTCCTCCTGATCTATCTTGGGCTCCACATTAAACTCATGAAAACTCTTAGAGACAAGTCTGGTGGAAAGATGTCGCCATGGAGAAAGAAGAGGCGCCTCACCTTCGGTCTGGGAACCCTGCCTCACTACAAGGGTACTAGGATAATCTCTGTCCATCCTCCTAAAGATCTTCTTCAGAACCCTTTGCTAAATTAACCAAGCACTTCAGGGTACCAACATGGAAGACCAGACTTCAAAAGTGTACTGTACTTTAAAAATGAGAGGTCAGTCCTTGGTTTGATGGCTTTACAGTGTTGGATACACAACAGAGGCTTATTGGCTTGATAAATTATTGAGAGAACTTTGGGTTACAATCACCGAAATTAAATCTGTATGAGCAGGAACACCACCAATCAAAGCAGGAAGGAAGAGACAGTTTTTAAAGGAACTGCATTCATTTTTTGTATAGGTAATAAAATTACCTAGTACAAAATTCCAACAACTCGAAGGGGTATATACTGAAACATCTCCCTCCCACCAGTAACCCCCCACACACTCGTAAAAGGCCACTTTAATAAGCCTGTCGCTCTCTGGTAGGACAGAATGGATCATGCACGGTCAGGGACTCAAGGTTAAAGACCCTCTGATCTTGAAGATGTATGTCATCCAGCTCAAGCCAAGAGCTTATTGCCCAGAACTAGACTTAGTAAAGTGAAATCCTCTGCTCAAGCTGGCAGAGGGTACAGGCTTAAAGCTTGTTGCCAACAAATCCCAGCTGGCCACCAAACCTGAAATGAGGCAAGTGAAACCCCAGGGACTTTTGTATTGCCCTGGTGTGCTGCATGTTTGCTAGATACAGTATTTTGTAATCCATTTATATCCTCGATCTGTCCCCTTGCCATGCTAGGTCATGAAGTGTGACTTCTGCATAGTCCTTGACATTCACTGGCTATCCCAGGATAAAAGCCACATACATAGTGGCAACTGAAGCAACCCATTCCCTTTCCCTGCCCTTTTGTAGACTGGAACCAAGGCCAAATGGTAAATGGAAAAAAGCACTTGGCTGGAGTGATAAGAGTGGGAGTTAAGTTTCTGTTCTGACCCCTCACGGAGACATGTAACCTTGGCCCCTCTGACTTAACTCCGTCTGTGAGAGAAAGTGATAAATCTCTACTCTGCCTAGCCAAAAAGCCAGTGCAAGGATCAAGCGAACATGAAGAAATGCCTTTCAAAATACCTTCCCTTCCTGTAGTACATGGACAAAGAAGAGCACAGTGGTCGAGAAGAGAAGTCCCCTGGGTCGGTGGCTCTCCTCTGCTTCACCATCAGGACCAGGGAAGAAGCGGTCACTATCAACTCTGAATAGAGCTGGCTCCTTTCTTCACCAAGAGTAAACTCTGTGCTTCTCTTACTGAATCTCCGAACAGGCCCATTGTGGGCAAGCACTTTTCTCGCTAAAACAGTGTTCTGCTTCTTTAATTCTCCACATACTCTAACTTGTCCCACTCTCACGATTTCACCTGTTGGGTAAAGGCTCATACAGAGGAATTTTATCTTGAATCTACCCTCTCTCTGCTTGTCCCTGTATCGGACCTCACCATCTGGCCTTCCCTTCATGGTTTGGAAACCAGCACCCAGGATACCAAGAACGAAGTATTCTAAAGTCAAAGCATCTGTACCTCCACTTACTGGCGGGAGAGAGTCCACTCACGACGGGCAGCGTCGGGCCCTGCCCGCGGCCACCCTCTGGTGGCAGCAGCGCGCAACTGCGTCAGCTGAGGGAAGTGCGGATTACTGCAGCGCCCCCTGGCGTTAGTCCAGGAGACGTGCGAGGGCACCGGAACCCGACCAGGTGAGCCTTCCTAGGGCGCGCGCGCTGGCGCCGCTGCGGGGTATTTAACTGTGAAGGCACTGGTTGGGCGGGAGGGATTGTACCCAAGAGTCTTAAAATCTAGTATGCATGCGTGTAGGTTCGTGTATATTTTTCGTGTCCAGTTGCTTGAACCCCGTGTATCTGTTGTGTAAAATGTGTGCCGTTTGTGTGTGCGCACGCGTCACACGTGGGTAGGTTGGTGGTGGGGAGGTCCGCGCCTCCAGTGCAGGGCGGAGTCCTCACGGAGGCGTGAAATTGGTTTGGAGCAAACACATTACGGAAAGCAATTACCGGGGAGAAGTTCTGGGCCCGCGGGACCCGCAGCCAGGAGGCTGGGGAGGAAGCTCCCTGGCTTGCAAGAGTGTCTGTGGATGTCTAACCCCAGAACGGACCTTCCTAACACTGCCTGCTAATGTCAGAACGGGTGAGGCTGGGCAGCAGCCCCTCATATTGACCACTCAACATCGTCTTTCTTCCTTTACCGCTACCCTCTTTAAAAAGGCATCCTGCCGAAGATCCAGTACTCTCAGATATGGTCAGAAATCCTCCTCCCTTCTTACCACTTTGGGAGAGGCAACCACCTCCTGAGAAGTCTTCCCAGGTCCCTGCCTCTACACGCCCTCAGGTCCTGCTCCCACATGTCTTTTGCATTCACTTAATTGCCCCTTGTATTTGAACTAGTGATTCACACCCTTGTTTTTCAGACTAGATGGGAAATTCACTGAGGGCAGGAACTGGTCTCGTTCACAGCTGTGGATCTAGTGCCTAAAACCTGGGACTCAGGAGGCGCAAAATGAATGATGTGGATGGGATTACATAAAATTTCCATCAAAGTGCAAAACAACTCTCAGGAAAGTCATCCCCTCGAGAGTCAGGATTCTCTTAGAACAGAGCTTTCAACATCTTTCACATGCCAACGATCCCATTTATATCCCAGACCTGACCTTGTCTCTGAATTCCAGATTTCTAGATCGAAATGACCTTGTAACATAGCCTCTTTGAGATGTGTAATAGACAGCTCTGACTTCATATCTCCCAGTGACCGTCTCATTCCTCCCCCACCTGCCCCTTGCTCATCTTCCCCACCTTAGTAATTAGCACCACCACCCACCCAGTTGTTCAGCCCAAACACTGAAAGTCATCCTGGATTACGTTTTCCCTCAGCCCCCACATCCAGTCCATCAGCACGTCTCCTCCAGTCTCCAAACAGGGTCCCAAGTCTCGCCCACTGCTTCCCCATCTCCGGGGACTCGACTTCAGCAGGAGCCCCCTAATGGACTTTGAGTCTTCCTGGCCTCTCCCCTCTCCCCAAAGCCATTCAGAGATCTTTCCAAACCTACATCAGTTCAGGGCACTCCCGGGCTCTTCCCCACTCCACTCACGGGCCTGGGCCTCAGGTCAAATGTCACCTCCTCCAAGAGGCAGCCTCCCTGTCACCCAGTCTCCAATAGCTCCAAGCAAGCTGGCAATCACCGTGAATTCCTCAGAGGGCTTAGCACTGCGGCAGCTTGCCGCCCATTTGCTTAGGGTCCCCTCCCCCTAGAAGGTACCCCGGTGAGGACTGGAGAGCCAGGCCTGTGTGTGCGTGGCACCTGGACCACAGGGGCACGTAAGCCCTTGCCCAACATGGGCCACGGGCCATTCTCCCAGGCCTCCGCCCCCGGACAAGACGGGCTCTCCAGGAGAGGCCCCACACAGTGAGGGGAACTCACACATGAGCGAGCCCCGGGGAAATCGCTGCGCGACCCCCTGCCGGTGCCGACTTCCCCACCTCCCCTCCCAACCCGCGCGGGCCCCGGGGCCTGCGCGCTCAGGACTTGCCCGGCGTCGCCACAGCTGAGGGGCCGGGCCTCCGTCTGGCAGCCCTGTCCTCCCGTCGCGCCCACAGGGCGGGTCAGCCCAAGGCCGGTGAGGCCAGGTGAGAACCCCCCCGGGGCCCACTCACCTCCTCCCCGCTTCTCCTAGGCTTCTCTCTCCAGGCCGTCTGGGGCTTCGCGCCCTGCCGGCCCCGCCCCTGCCGCCTGCGTCCTCCAGGCCCCGCCCCCGCAGCCTCGTTCCCGAAGTTGGAGGGAAAATTGTGAACACCAGCGCTTGCGCACTCTGGGGCCCTGGGAAACCTGTCCGGCGACCCTTGACGTCACGGATCACAGTGCACTTGATTGGCTGCTCTGCGACACCGGTCAGCTCCGTCTTTCTACTGTGGTTGCAGGCCGACTCCTGCGTGCTGACCACCTGCGAGGTCTTAAAAACCTGGCCCTGCAAAGACCCTCAGGGACTCTCTCCTTTCTTGTCTTACGGATGTGAGCGACTTGAGCCCAGAGAGGGGAAGAAATTTAAGTTCCACAGCCGAATGGCTGAGGCCCCGGACGTAACGCTCAGCTCCGCTCCTGCTGCCACAAAGCTAAGTCCAAGAGAGGCAGGAACCAGGCGTGCGTCCGGTGCTCCCTGACCTATAGGACAGGCAGTAGCTAGAGTTGTTTGTTTTTTCCAAACCTGAAACTTCCACTCTCACCTGAACCACGGTTACCCTCTCTGATGGCTGACACCTGCACCCACTTTTCACTGGCCGCCTTGCTCTTCACCTCACCTCCCTACCCCAAGGCTGCCTTTCCCATTCTGTCCCACCATCCGCACTGCCTCATTCCTGCAGCAGGTCTTCTCTACCCAAGCCTGTTTGCTCACCCATCCTCTGGGTGGTTGTCCTGACATTATCTCACCTGGTGGCCCTTGTGCCACATCATGAGCCGGCGGGGCAATTCTGCCTGGGGCGGCTCAACAGCTGGTAGATGCCAAAGGGGGAAGATGACACCATTGGCGCCATGGGGCAGATCGGGGTGAGGGGGCCCATAAGTCTGCCCATCTTGAGTCCCCTGAGTGAGCAGCTCAGAGGAAGGCCTGCTGGAGACAGCACCAAACAACACAGGCCTGCAGATTTTTAATGCTCATACAGGGATCAGATGGGCTGGAGGGGTGCCTCACTTGCCACAAGTGCCAGTTGTCTCTCTGTTAGACATCACCTGGCTGCATGATCTGTCTCTCTCTCCCAGGCAGGGATGGCAGCATCCACATCTGCCTGAGGAGCTGGACCTCCTGCTGACAGAGCCACCTCGGCCCGAATCAGTTCAACTCAGTCCTGGGTTGGGGGTGCTGAAAGCCGCAGACTGGAGCCCCCGGGGCATCTGCTTTCAGGTCTCTCAAAAGGCAGTGGACAGACATCTGGAAAGAGAGGTGTGGATTCAGAGAGGTCCCAAGGTCCAGGAGGCAGGCTGGTTCTGGCCAAGGCCCTGCCCCCAACTCTTCTCTTGCCTCCTACCCATCCCTCTAAATGCCCACAGAACCCGGCACTCACCTAGTAGAGCACGTCCTCAAAATCCAGCTGCAGGTAGCGGAGCAGGCGGGATGGCAGGGGAAGGCGGGGCAGGGCGTGGGGCAGGCAGGCGGCCAGGTGAGCACGGAGCGCACAGCGGCTCAGGTGCTGCAGCGATCTGGGCTGCCTCACCAAGGCGAAAAGGGAGGAATAGAAACGGTGGTGCTTCTGGGGATAGAATGAGGGGCTCAGCGAGGCAGCCTTGGACAAATGGCACCCTTTCCTCCCAAAGCGGGCGGGGGTGGGGGTGGGGGGAGGGGAGGCTGGTGGCCAGCAGGTGTCTACAGGAGCCTCTAGAAGTAGTGTTTTGGGTGTTCACTCTGTGTTTTCTTCTTCCGGGACATGAACGGGTCTCTGGGTTGTTTCTCTGGGGCAGGGTAGGGGAACCAACAGAGCTTCCCTGTAGGGAGTGGAGTCCTGTGGGGCCAGGCTGAGTGTGTGTGTGTTCAGGGTCCTGGAATCTGACCTGCAGTATTTCAAGAGGCACCAGGGCCATGGCCTCCTCGGGAAGCTGCATGATACTGTAGGTGTTCATCAGGACCTCAATGGTTCTCGGAGACTCACACCAGCGCTCCAGCACCTGGAGGAGGCAGAGATGCATCAGCACTTCCAGGGTTCCCCCACACTGCAGGTCCCCAGCTAGCCTGCACAGGGTGACGAGACAGTGATAGAACAGCTGCTGTGGGTTGAATTGTGTCCCCCCAAAAATATGTTGAAGTCCTAATCCCCAGGACATATAAATATGACCTCTTTAGAAATAGGATCTTTGCAGTTGCGATGAAGTTAAAATGAGGTCATCAGGGAGAGGATTCAGAGAGAAGCGAAGAGGCCAGCAGAGACCTGGTGGGATCAAGTTGGAGCCAGATTCATTCTTTCATGTCTTCATTTAGTAAATATTTACTGAGGACCACTACGGGCTGAGCCCTGGGGACCCAGCAATGAGGAATACAGACAGGTCCTTTCAGCTGGGAAGGTCTATTTCAGTGGGAGAAAATAATATAAACACATAAACAACCACAGATAAGCCATTACAATGAAAAATAGGTAGGCTTGGGGACTGAATGTGTTGGGAGGGTGCTGTCCTAGATGGGTGGTCAAGAAAAGCGTCTCTGAGGAGGTGACCCACTGCAGGGGAGGCTGAGCTATGCTGCAGGAGCAGCCCATGCCAGGGACTGTCCACGTGGAAAGAAAGACAGCCTCAGCCGGCCTGGACACACACACATGCCATCATACTCACCCGAGTCTGCAAGTACTAGCTAGAAGCAGATGTGTGCTTCATCCACTCCATCTCTGGCTGTGTCTCAAGCTATAGGCAGTAGCCACAAACCCTTTATAAAATCTGAGAACGGCTAAGTACTATCTTTCTGGCAGCATTCCTGTACATGGCACCCCTCTCTCCACATAAACTTGCACGCAGCATTGGGGGCTTTAAAACCCCGTGCCTGCAAGGAGCCCCACCGCCTGGCAGGCTGGGAGTGCTGCATGGGCTGGGTGCTGCTGGGCCGGGGGAGCAGGGCCCCTGGAGAAAGCATCTCACACACCCGGAGCCCCCTCTGCTTCTTGCAGTGCATCTCAGCAGTGCTCACTGGGGCTGCCCCATCCCGTCTGCCCAGAGCGGGTCTCTGATTTACTCCTCCTTAGATCTAGGAAAGAACAGGCTGGTCACGTCTATCTGCTGTTCAGGGGTCTCTCTGTGCCTCCCAGCCCACGTTGATTCCTGCCTCTGTCTTCTGCCTGCAATACCTATGCTTTCCTCCTCCTCCATCTCCAAGGCCTGCCCATCCCAAGTCCCCTCTGCTCCAGGAAGCCTCCTGCGGCTCTTGAACCAGCACCTCTCTCTCCCCATGTTGGCATAATGCCCAGCAGCTTTCCCACACATTATTTAACTTAGAAGAACATGAGCTAACAGGTGTTGATCACTAACTCTAGGTCAGGCCCTGTTGAAAGGGCTTTATGTGTATGAGCTCAGTTCTCATCCTAACCCTATGAAGTAGGCACACTCTTATGTCCCTGTGTTACACACGAGGGAACTGAGGCCCAGAGAGATTAAGCAACTTGCCAAGGGTCGCATGGCTGGTGTGCCAGGCTCCAGAGCCTGCACTCTTGGTTGTCACTTAACTTCCGAGTTTGCTGGGAGAACTGAAGGCGCCCGTGCCGCAGGTACCACACCATAGAATAGTGTCTGGTGGTGGTCAGGGCTGTGCTCCCTCCAACTGTTACCCACGAGGCTCCTACGGCTTTTTATCACTGTTCGCTAGAGGCTATAATTCATGCAAGGAACATGCGTTCAGAGCCTTCCAGTGACTTGCCTATAGTCACAGGAACAAGCATCAGACCAGACCCTGGCTCCAGATTTCCTGAGCGCCCAGTGGCTCCTGGAGAGCTGGCTGAGCCCGGCAGTGATCACAGATGGCTCCTTGCAGGGAGACAGGCACCTCAGGCAAGCGTGGGGCAGCTGTGGATGGCAGGAGATGGAGGCAGACTCCCTCCTGAACTTTTCCAGCACCTGGGACGCGGCACCCAATCGAAGGGGAGGAATGGGGCATTTGGCTGTGCCGGCCCCCTTGGTCCCTAAGGCAGGGCAGATTGGGGCTGGGGGCGGGGGCGGGCAGTGGGGTCCTGGGAAATCCTTCTGCTGCTCTGCCTCCTCCTCCTACCCCCTCCCCGAAGGGGAAATCATTAGCTGTCAAAGCCACCGTCAGATTACAGGGAATTGCTCGTCTCCTAATTATCTGGTGTTAATAGGAGATTAATTAGTGTTAATTGTTGATTTTCTTGTATTTTCCCAAAGGGGAGACCAATCTGCCGAACTCTCGGGCTGTTTAATTATTTGGTCTTGCTTAGGAATCTAGACAGATGCTTCTAGGTTTGTGAGTGAAGGCGAAAGGCAGGGACAGGAGAGGAGTGTCCAGGACCGGGCAGGGCTGGACAGTTCAAGCCCCGAGATGGCGCAGAAGGATCCGCCCACAGCCTCCTACCCTGTATCCGTTCTGACCCAGCTCCTCAGAGACCAGGGGTCCCCATCCCAGTCCCAGACCCTTGTGACATCATATGGCCCCCTGCAGATATGACGCAGTATGGGGCAGGGCCCCCGTCAGGGCATCTAGGAGCACAGGTCTTCAAGTTGAACCCACTTTGGGAATATTTTATGTTAATAAAAGGAGATACAGCCAGGAAATTGACAGTGAAAGGCTTTTTCTCTGGTGCCAGGATAGCAGCTGCTGGTCTGGGTGATGCTGAGGTCTCAGAAACAAGGGCTGTGTCTGTCTGCAAAAGGTCAGGAAGCTTTGAACCTCATGACCCAGGCTCATCGCTCTGCCTTGGGGGAGCCTCTCCTGTGCAGAGTGTCTCACTGAATGGATCCCACTGCCAGGCTGAGCTTCCTGCATGTTCCTCTCATCAGCTCACTCCCCTGATGAAGAAACAACTCCCTGATGCCCACTTCAGTCCTGGCTCCTGTCTTTTCAGATGCATGATAATCTGACCTCCTGCCCTCAGCCCACCTTCATCACACAGGCATGCACTTGTGCATGCACACATACCTACACACACACCCCTCCTGCTGGTCTACGTCCTTGCCTTTGCCCCCTTTAGGCTTTGCTTACTTGATGAAAGAAGAACTTACTCATGTGCTCCAGTGTCTGAGGCTGCATCCAGAGTGAGTGGGAGCAGGTCTGCATCTCCCCTCCCCTCCCCCTCACGGCCCTCCCTCTGGCCCCAGCCCCATACCTTGGGGAGGGCCCCAGGCCAGACACGGACAGCACCGTGGTTGAGCAAAGCTCGCACCATGTGCTCTGGGCTCTGGGCCAGGGCCGCAGCTGGGCCCTGCAGAGCACAGTGCAGGGCCGTGTGTCCACCATAGTCCATGGCGTTGGCGCTAACGCCGTGGGATAGGAGCAGCTCCACGATGGCCGCGTGGCCGCGGCGACAGGCCAGGTGCAGGGGCCGTCGCTTGTCCTGGTCAGCAGCATCAGCATCAGCTCCGGCTGAGAGCAACAGACAGCAGAGCTGGAGGCAGCGGGCGGTGGTGGCCTCAGCGTCGACCGGGGACGTGCAGCGGACGTCACAGGCAGCCAGCAGTGGGGTCCAGCCTTCGGCATTACGGGCATTAGGGCATGCCCCCCGTCTCAGAAGCAGGTCTGCCAGCTCCACATGGCCCAGCCGCGCGGCCACATGCAAAGCGGTCTCCTCCTCCTCCTCAGACCGACCATCCACTTTCGCCCCAAACCTCAGGAGCAGTTCCGCACACCTGGGAAGGGCGAGACGGTGGTGGGGAGGAAAATAGGGCCTTCCACTCCTACTAGTCTGAGCAGAGCAAACCTGGGGGAGTTCTTGGGCTACTCCTGCTTCTGTCTGCCCCTCCCCTTCCATCCTGCCGGTCACTAGTCACCCCAGCCATGCGCTGCAGGGCCAGCAAAGCCTTCTCTTCAAGCCCGCGTGCTCCCTGCAGGAGTGGTGCCCTAAAGTCTTCATGGGGGCGAAAGTCACACGCAGCCCTCATGCAGTGAGAACAGGAGCCCTTCTGAGGGATCTACACGAACTGACTAGTTCTATCATAGGTCCCAAGGAGGAAACTGAGCCCCAGCCCACATTCACGCAGCTAGGAAGGAGGGGGGCTCGCATTCGGGCCCAGGGGGCAGCAGGGCAGTGGAAGGCTGTGCACGCTGGGGCTGGTGGAGGAAGCGGGACGTGGGGCCTGGCTGTGGGTATGGGATGGAACTGGGGGCATGGGAGAAAGAGCAACAAAACCAAAACTGGCCAGCCAGATTTGCTCCAAGACGGCCCTCACAGAAGGTCGTGTGTGCCTGTAAGAACATGAACATGGAAATTCAAAGCGAACGGAACTTAGCCTCTTGGAGCTAGTGTCCACATCCGGAGAATGGGGATACTTGCTAATACCTGGACCTAATGAAATTGTGAGCAGCACAGTGCCTGGAAAGACCATGGCAACAGCTCTTGGCAGGGAGAGTGGGTGGTGATGGATCTTGGGGGCCCATTGTATTATCCTGCCCACCTTTCTATATGTTTAAAATTATCCATAATAATTTTTTTTAAAGATTTTATTTATTTATTTGACAGAGAGAGAGATAGCGAGAGCAGGAACACAAGCAGGGGGAGTGGGAGAGGGAGAAGCAGGCTTCCCGCCGAGCAGGGAGCCTGATGCAGGACTCGATCCCAGGACCCTGAGGTCATGACCTGAGCCGAAGGCAGACGCTTAACGACTGAGCCACCCAGATGCCCCTATCCATAATAATTTTAAAAAATACTTCTGTTTACGTGGGAAAGGAAAGAATGATTCTCGCTGGGTGTGGTCTCCATGAGGCTGGGGCTAGAACATGGCCAGAACTAAAAATGCGGGATCGTATAGAGCTGTGTTGTCTGATACAGGGGCCACGAGCCACACTCGGCTATTGAGCCCTTGGATTATGACCATGCCTAATTGAGACATGCCGTGAGTGTAAAATACACACCAATTTTGAAGACTTGGTACAAAAAAGGGAACGTAAAATATCTCATTAGTTCTTTATGTTGATTACATGTTGAAGTGGCCATGTTTTGGATATACTGGGTTAAATGAAAGATATTATTAAAATTAATTTCACCCGTTTCAGAGATATTTGTACACCCATGTTCACCGCAGCACTATTCACAACAGCCAAAATGTGAAAGAAAGCAATCTAAGTGTTCATCAGCTGATGAGTGGATAAAATGTAGCATCTACAGACAATGGGATCTTATTTAGCCTGGAAAAGGGAGGACATCCTGACACCTGCTGCAACATGGATGAACCCTGAGGACATCGTGTGGATTCAAAGAAGCCATCACAAAAGGACAAATGCCCTGTAATGCCACTCGTATGGGGTACCTAGAATAGTCAAATTCTAGAAACCAGAAGAATGGTGGCTGTCACAGGCTGGAGGGAGAGAGGAATGAGAAGCTTTTGTTCAGTGAGGACAGAATTTCAGGGTTGTTTTTTTTAAGATTTTTTAAAAAAGATTTTATTTATGGGGCGCCCGGGTGGCTCAGTGGTTGAGCGTCTGCCTTTGGCTCAGGTCATGGTCCCAGGGTCCTGGGATCGAGCCCCACGACCGGCTTCCTGCTCAGCAGAGAGCCGGCTTCTCCCCTTCCCTCTGCCTGCCGCTCTGCCTACTTGTGCTCTCTGTCTCTCTGTCAAATAAATAAATAAATAAATAAATCTTTAAAAAAAAAAGATTTTATTTATTCCTTTGATAGAGAGAGCACAAGCAGGGGGAGCAGCAGAGGGAGAGGGAGAAGCAGGCGATCCCAGGACCCCGGGATCATGACCTGGGCCGAAGGCAGACGCTTAACCAACTGAACTACCCAGGTGCCCCAGAATTCGTTTTATAAGATTAAAAATGTTCATGAGAAGGATGGTGGTGATGGTTACCTGACAATGTAAACCTGCTTAGTGCCACTGAACTGTGCCTTTAGAAATGGTCAAGATGGTACGTTTTATGTTATATGTATTTTACCAGAATTAAAAAAATTAATTTCATCTTTATTTTTTTTTTTTAAGATTTTACATTTAAGTCATCTCTACACCCACTATGGGGCTTGAACTCACAACTCTGAGAGCAAGAGTCCCATGCTCTACTGACTGAGCCAGCCAGATACCCCATTATTGTTCATTTTTTTGATAAGGCCACTAAAAAATTTTAAATTACATACGTGGCTCACATTGTACTTCTATTGGGACACACCGGGATAGAATACATCTTTGACCATAATAAGTCAATGGAGTCTGCTGAAGGATGCTGAGGTTAACAGGAGGTTAACCAGCTCATGATGAAAGGGATAAAAATCTGGCACCATTCCAGAGCAAGATGTGAAATTTGTCAGGTGTGCAGTCCGTAGAGAGAGGGCCTCTACTGCATGTACAGTTAGTTCATAGATTTGCCAAGGGTCCCTTTGCCAGGATTCCATGCTCATCAAGAAATTGAGTGAGGGGGTGCCTGGTTGGCTAAGCGTCTGCCTTCGGTTCAGGTCATGATTCCAGGGTCCTAGGATCAAGCCCTGCATGGGGCTCCCTGCTCAGCGGAGAGCCTGCTTCTCCCTCTCCCGCCGCTCCCCCTGCTTGTGCTCTCTCTCTCTCTCTCTGTCAAATAAATAAATAAAATCTTCTTTTAAAAATTGAGTGAGGACTCATCCCCCAAATCTCCCTACACATACGGCATAATTATTTGGGCATAGTAAAGGAATTTTCCCTACACTAAATAATATCTTGAAACATGGGTATATCTATCAGTTTGTGAGTTTAGTTAGTTGAGCTCCATCCCTAGGCCCATTTATCTGAGGGTACCCACCAATAGGGAAACGCCAGACCTGCCCACAGGGATCAATGCACGCCCTAACTGGGGGCTGCTCTCCTTTCCAGACTACCTGGATCACTCCTGGACTGTCAGCTCCCTGAGAGCAGGATTATGCCTCAGTCACTGTTGCACCTAGCACAGGGCCTGGAATACAGGGTAGGCTCAGAAAGATTAACACTTTACAGTATACTACCTCACCATAATGGATCCAGACAACTTCCCGACACAGGCTCTGCAACTGGGTCCCTGCCACAGTCCTTTTACACCCCTGGGGAAGCAGAAACTGTCCCAAGTACAGGCCATTCCCAAGTTCAGGGCCAGTGGTAGGAGGGTTTGGGGAGTAATCACATCCTGACTCCCCACCTGAGGCGAGCTCAGCAAGCCTGCCAGCCCCTGACATGCTCGCTCATCCACCCTGAGGTCATGGCTCTGACCCCCCCCCACCCAAGAGTAGAATGGGGGCTGGACTGAGGGGTCACTCACTCAAGGGTGCCGGCTCCCTGGCAGAGGTGCAAGGGGAGTTTTCCATCCTGGTCGGGGATGTTGGGGTCGGCTCCTGCCACCAGCAGCATGTGGACACAGGCAGCGTGGCCCGCAGCACAGGCTTCGTGCAGGGCGGTGCGGCCCCCAGGGGCGCTGTCAGGCCTTGCCCGCCGCCTCAGCAGCAGCTGCAGAACTTCCGTGTGGCCCCGGCTGGCGGCCACGTGCAGAGGGGTGGTCAGCTCCTCTTTGTACGTCAGAGACCAGATTCCTAGGGAGAGAGGGGACATGGGCCTCAGACCCTGGAGGGAGGCAAAGAGCGGCCAGGCAACAGGGGAGATGGGCAGAGGCTGGGAAGAGGGAGCTCAGAGCTCCGTCCCCAGCCTCCCCTCTCCCTCTCAGATCACCACCCCCCCCCAATGCCCCTGGCCCGTACTCAGAGCGCGGATGTTGAAGCGGAAATCCCTCCATCGCTCTGGGTCGCTGGTATCAAAGATGGAATCCGGAGCCAGGCCAGTGCTGGCGTCGGCGAGGATGTGGGAGACAGAGCCCACGTCCCCGGCCAGCACTGCCTGCCAGAAGGCCAGGGCAGGTCCCGAGGCCGTCCGGGTGACGATGGGTCCCGGGCCAGACTCCGGGTGTTCGGCAGACCCTCTGTTGGGCTTCTCCACCAGCCTGGCACAGAGGTCGTGTCTGTCACTGGGGGGTTCTCCCTGCCCCCTGCACTCTTCTGGGGACCAGCTCATGAGGACAGAGTAGGAGCATGCGGGAAGAGGAGTGGGGGGAGGAGGGGTCAGAGGCAGAGGAAGAAGAGGAGAGAAACAGGGGCAGAGGGCGGGAGAGGGTCTCTGTGTCCCTGAGCTGAGCCTGACCCGGCCACGCAGTTCAGCAGAAGCTATTCTGGGCTCCGCATGACTTCACTCCCGGGCCAAGGCTTAGGCAAGCCTCTGGGTAGGGCAGAAGTAGCCAGGGGCTTCTCCTCTTCCTCAAGCACTTGGTAACTCTGTATCTGATGGGGTCAGCCCAGGCCCCTGGCCCTTAGCCCTCCACCCGCCACAGTCCCTCACCCCTCTGGTGGCTGCTCCAGCGAGGCTCGGCGGCCCGGGACTCCAGCAGCAGGTCGGCTGTGCTATGTGGGGGAAATAGCTCCTGTAACCTCGCCAGGTCTCCGGTGTACAGGGCATTCTGCAAGGCCATGTCACGGCACAGTAGTGGCGACGGCCGTGTTGGCTCCCAGGCTGGGCAGGCCTGGGACCCCCAGACCCGGCAGGCCGGGGTCGAAGGAAGGCACCCCAGATGGCGTCCCCAGCGGGGAGAGGAGCTCCTTCTCCCAGGCATAGCCAATCTCTGGGAGAGAGGGAGCCGAAGCAGCAGGACTCGGGGAGATGCCGCTGACCGACTGGTCAGGCAGGCACCGGGCCCAGGCAGAGGCCTAGTGTGGGAGGGGCAGGGGAGTGCACGTAGGCCATGCCGTAAGTAGCCCTGGCTGTCCTAGCTGTCTGTCCCAGGGAAGGCGGCCTCAGGCTGCAGTGGGCATTAGGGAGGAGCTGGAGAACAGAGTGAGGCTGGAGCCCTCCAACCCTGAGTTCACCCTGGAGTTGACGGCCCTCGGGGTTGCAAGGGATCGCCCAGATCGCGGTAGCCAACCTGCAATTTCACAGGTAACGGAACATGAGCCTGGGTGTGGGAAGTGATTTGCCCAAGGTGTGACAACTTGTGGCAGATCCGGGACTAGAATGGGGGTGGGGGTGGGGAGTGGGGGCTCTCAAGCTGCCATTTCATAGTCTTTGTCATCTATCATGTGCTTCACCGAGCCGGCCTCCAGCGGCCTGGGCTCTGATCCCAGACAGAGGGCATGTGGCCGCCGGGCGATTTTTCCGGCCCTCCCAAATGCCACCGATTAGCCCTGCACCTTCCCCCTCCCAAACCCAGGGAAGGGCTCCACAGTAGTGACGAATGGCAGAGAAGGGCCCACTCCATGAGGCTTTCCTTCCAGGTGTTCTCTAGAAGACAGACTTCTGCCTTGGGGAGAGGGGGCTCGGCCCACAGACAGCGACAGAAACTCCCAGTGCCCACCCTGGGTGCTGACCCCCCATCTCCCATCTCTACCTACCAACGTTGGAGGGGTCCCAGTCGGGGAGTGAGAAGGAGGAAGTGGTTCTAGCCATTCAGGCACATTAGGATAACAAGACCACTTTCCTTTGGGGAGATAAACAGGAAAACAGGGAGAAAGAACCTAAATCCCAGCCCCTGGGCAGCCCACAACGGGCCCTGGGCCCGCTCCAGCCCTAGTGGTCGCATCTCGTCTGGCTCCCATTGGCCTCCATGACCTGCAGAACACACCTTGACTTTTACTCACACACTCTTTACACTGCTTCTTCTGAGAGAACTCTGGAGCGCCTAGCTCTCTGTGGCATGACTATCCCTCGCTCCCTGAGCTCCCCTTCTCCAGCACCCCAACTCTTCCCTCCCCAGCAAAGGGGACCCACAGATGAACTTCCACCTGGGGGCAGGAGGCTGTGTCCCATCCACTCCCTGAGGGACAGGCTCTGGGTCAAAGGAAGGAGAGCAGAGCTTGGGCCAGTGGGTGGGGGGCAGGCACGTTTCAGAAAGACGTGGAGACCACTCAGAGAAGGCACTGGCTCTACCAAGAGCCCTTGTTCTGGCCACCTACTACACCCTTTCTCCCTAGAACCTTCCTCTACCCCACCCCGCCACTGCCTAAGAGTCCTCACCCCACGGACACCCTTTTGTAAGGATAATCAAACCCTAGAGTACCAGGGACCTTGGAGGCTGGTCCAACCCCTCCTTGTTTTACAGGTAAGGAAACTGAGGCCCAGAGACAGGAAAGGTCTGTGCAAGATCACACGGGGAGTTCTCACCGAGGTGGGGCTAACACCAGGGGCTGCTGACTTCCAAACTTGTTGTTTTTGTTTTTTTTCTTTTTCCAGACTTACTATGGAACTTCCTTCTCCCTTCTCTTTTTCCTTCTTTCTTTCTTTTCCTATTTTTTTCTCTCTTAAAAACCCCAAGGAGGAAGAGAGCTGGGGAGCCAGGACAGGAACCAACAGGAGATGAAGACATGGGTGCAGGTCAGAGGACAGGGCTCTGGGGCCTGAGGGTGAAGGCTGTGAGTGGGTGAGGACGGAGGGCCAGCAGGGGTGGGGCGAGAGGGGGAGGCTGGGCACAGGCAGGGGCCGCAGAGCAGGGGTGGGAAGCACGGAGATGGACAGAGAGAGTTGCTCCCCACGCTGTGTGGCCATTTATGCCTCTGCCCCAGGCCCTCCACTGCCGGGAGCCGCCCAGTCCCCCTGCCAACCTCGGGCACCCTGCCCTCAACCATCACTTCCTTTTCTTCTTCTCCTTCGCCAGCTTGGCTTCCTCAGCGTCCTGGTCCTTGATGAGTTTTAGCCTCCTCTTGCCCAGTGGAGTCTTGAAATACCAGTCCTGGTGGGAGGAGGGGGGAAGGGGGGAGTGCACTGGCTCTACCCCCGGCTTCTGCCTCCCGACCTTGCCCTCCCCTTTCCACAGACGTGCCCTCCGTGGCAGCAGCCGGTTCTCCTCTCTTCCCCGGCTCAGGCGTCCTGCTAGAGTCTCGGTTTCCCTTGCTCTCCACCAAATACTCCAGGCCACGGGGTCAGCCATTGTCGGGGGCAAGCCCTCTCACCCATGGGGCACTGGTGGGCAGTGACTGAGGTGGGGAAAGTGGGTGTCTGCTGGTGCCAGGACCAACCACGGGCTCTTAATACCCAGGTGGCACTTTCGGGCTCCGGCCATTGAGGACACCAGGTAAGTTGGTCCTGCCCACATGCCCTTCCCTGTGATTTCCTGTCCCCTTCCCAGCTAAACTCCATGGGGGAGCAGAGGGAGGGGTCTAAGGGGGGCCTTCAGAGGGCTGACTCCCTGGTTAGTGCTGGCCGGTTACCCTCCCTCCTGGCCTCCCCGCCACGGCCACCCCCGAAGCCTCACCTTCAGGGACTCCTCCTCCTCCTGGTACACCGGCTCCAGCTTGGCCAGATGCCCCAGGAACTCTGAGGCCACCAGGGGCCGCTTGGATAGCTGCAGGACCCGCCGCTCGGTCAGCACTGAGTGGATGGCTTGGAGAATGTGACCGGGTGTGTAGCCATCGGACACCTTGGCCAGGGCACTGATGTCTAGGTTCTGGGTCACCTGGACTCCCTGGGCCTCTATCATCTGCCTCCAGAGCACTGCAGGTGTTGGGGGAGGACACAGGGCAGGGAGAAGCAAGCAGTGAGAGCCTCCGCCTCTATCTGAAATGAGGTCTGTGCTTCTGGAGAGCGGCTCTGTGCACATCAGTGCCTCCCCTCCCAGGAAGGTGAGCATCATCCTGTCCACTGAACACGAGGAAGTGAGACTCGGAGGACTTACGTGGCCTGCCCGTGTCCATGGAGCCAGGCCAGGACCCAGGCCACCGGGCTGTCTAGCTGCCCTTTCCTGCCATGGAGGCAGGGTCTCAGAGCAGAGTGGGGTGGGGAAGAAGGGTGAGGAGGCTCTGGCAGGGGCGGTCCCCGGATCCCTTGTCCGGCCTGCCCTCACGTCCCAGGGCCTCACCGTAGCGACAAGCGTAATCGGGCCGCGGCATGTAGAGGATCCGTTCGTAGGTCCGGCACAGCCCCTTCATCTCTGCCAGATGCGGCTGGTCAGTTGTCCCTATCAGCATCACACGGTCTCCTGGGCCCAGCAGTCTCAGGGCCTTGGTGAGATCCTTCTTTATTCGCTTTGGGTCCATCTGCTCTGGGGAGATGGGGGGAGAGACATATGACTTCTGTGGGCTTCTGAGTTCTCTTGGAGCACATGCCCACACTCAGCCTCGAGTGGACGCTGGCGGCGGTGGGGGCGGGGAGACATGGGCAGGAGGCCAGTCCTGCTTCCAGGATAAGGAAAAAGGCATCAGGAGGACAGGGAACTTGTCCAAGGCCCCACGGCAGGTGAGGTTTGGAGTTGACTTAAACAAGCCCAAGCCGGCCTTGCCCATGGCTCACGCTGCTACCCAGGTGCCCACACCTCCTTCTCTTCTTTTGGGACCCTCTTATAGAAATTCTTCTCGGCATTCCCAATCCAGATCACAGAGGGCTGTAAGAGTCGAGCCACCTGGACAGGTGAGAGAATAAAAACCTGGCGTCAGATGTCCCTGGGCAAGGGTCACCTCCCCGCCTGGTCCAAGGGCTGGCCTTGGAGCTCCGGCCCCCATTTCCCACGTGCGGCCCGCCCCACCTCTCAGCCTGCCGGCCCTCCACCACACCTCCATGGGAACGGAATCTCTGCCCTCCCTGCGTGGGGAGGCTGCATATTAAGCCTCAGCTCTACCATGAAAGAAACTGCTCTGCTCCCCACTTCCCCCCCACCTCCCCCATCCCCAGGGCTTCAGGAATCCACAAGCTCCTAACAGGGGTTGGTAGGGAGACCTCACCAGCTCCTGAAATCACACCAAATAGGCAGACGGGAGCATAAAGCCCACCCTGCTCTGTGGGCCCCGCCTGAGCACTAGAAATGCCAAAGTCGGGGGACCCAGACCTTAAAGACGATATGCACTATCATCTGCACCCCCATCTTGCCAGGATATTTGCCCTGCAGGTTGCCAGGTGACAGGTCAAACAGGTTGGCACCAGTTTCTGTGCACACGGCCTTGACCAGCATCTTCTTCCCCATGCCAGAGGGGCCCACCAGGAGGATGGAGCGGATGAGGGGAGCCATGGAGTGTATATCTGGGGAGCCTAAGAGAGGAAACAGGGGCCAGAGGCAGGCAGTAGGCCGGTAAGGGACCGGGGTGGAAGCCACTGTGTAAGGTGAGGCCAGAGGCCCAGGGCTGGGTGGGATGAAGTTTGGACCCCAGCTGCGCTGCTGGCCCCCAGTGTGTGAGCTGTCCCCTAGGCAGGCACGCTGAGAGAGGCCGCCCAGAGGACTTCCATTGGCTCCCCATTGGCTCCCCAGGTACAATTATAAAGAGCTAGATGCAAGGTCAGGAGGGAGCCTTCTAACCCCTTCCAATGCCCCTTCTGTTTTCTGTACCATCTCTTTCCACTTCTGGATCATGAAGGGGTAGAATTAAAGGACCTATGACCAACCGCTTCAGAAAGATCCTGGTCTTCCAGGAAGGGGACAGACTATGGGATATCACTTGGGGTTGGGTGAGGGGCTGGAAGAGTGGACTCCTCGGTAGGTCAAGAGTTCACATGACTTCTGGGGAGGCCCAATCTGGGTGTGACCTCCAGCAGGGCCTGGGGAAGGCAGGAGGGGCCCAGCATGGATCCATGGCACAGGGGACATGCCCACCCCCAGCATGGATCCATGGCACAGGGGACATGCCCACCTCAGCCACCCTGACATGCACCCCAGCTCCCCCAAGAGCCACCGGCCAGAGTTGGCTCTCCCCGCTCCCCAGGGCATCTCACCAAGCCGAAGGACCCCATACAAGGCCACATTC